TCCGCCAACAGCTCTGAGTAGACACACACACACTGGTAAAGTGGGGTTATTAACATCTTAAAGGTCAACAACAGCACACTATCTCAGAAGTAAACACACTGGATTATGTTAATCAAGAAGTCTTTGAAGCACAGGGAGATACCTTCCCTCTCCACCACCACAACTAAAATGGGAAAGCAGATACCACCAAATGCTGACAAAACAAAACAAAAAACCCCAAGGAGCAACTAGAATGCTCACATCTGACTTTGTTAAACTGTAAAGGAGTTAAAAGTTAAACATGCAACTACTCGTGGCTCAGTGATTCCACAGCCACCTAGTTACTTGCCAGGATACTATCTGCTTGAACCCTGTCACATGGCATCTTTCTCTCACGCACCACTTTTCTTAAATTAGAACAGAAATCAAAACTCAAATGTTGTGAAATATTATTTTAAGATGCGTTACATTCGTTTACGCTGTGGAACTTTTTTTTAATGATGCAAAGATGTGTTGCATTTGTTTAATTCTGTGAAGCTGTGATACTTTGCCTGCCTAAAACACCTGATTGGTCTGATAAAGTCCTGAATGACCAATAGCAAGTCAGGAGAGGTGATAGGCAGGCAGAGAGAATAAATAGAAGTAAAGAAAGGTAAGCAAAAGTAGAGAAAATTAAAGCCCAGAGGTAATAGATAGATAGATGGGATAATTTAAGAAAAGCTGGTTAGAGGCCCAGTGGTGGTGGCGCACGCCTTTAATCCCAGCACTCGAGAGGCAAAGGCAGGCGGATCTCTGTGAGTTCGAGACCAGCCTGGTCTACAAGAGCTATTTCCAGGACAGCCTCCAAAGCCACTGAGAAACCCTGCCTCAGGAAAAAAGAGAAAAGAAGGAAGGAAGGAGGAAAAGAAAAGCTGGCTAGAAACAAGCCAAGCTAAGGCCAGACATTTATTTATAAGTGAAAATGACTCCATGTGTGATTTATTTGGGAGCTGGGTGGTAACCCCCAAAGAGAAAAAGAGTAAAAAGCAAGCAACTATACTCAAATATGCAAGTCAGACAAAAATGTCCATGGCAGAGGCTAGAGAGACGGCTTGGTGGCTAAAAGCATTCCTTGTTCACCCAGAGGATCCAGGTTTGGTTCTCAGCACCCACATTTAGATGGTTCACAAGTGCCTGTAACTCCAATTCCAAGGAATCCAACAGCCTTTTCTGGCCTCTGCCAGTACCTGTACACACACACACACACACACACACACACACACACACACACACACACACACACACAAATACTAAGTTTCTTTAAAAATGTCATTGCAGCTTTAACTATAATAGCCAAAAGCTGGATATGATCTGCTCATTGGATGAACGATGACTGAATGGAGTTAGTCACTGTTATCTACCCAGACAGAGAATGCTAATCAGCAATAAAAAGAAATGAAAGTGGGGCTGGAGAGATGGCTAAGAAATTAAGAGTGCATACTGCTCTTGCAGAGGACCTGAGTTCAATTCCTAGCGCCTACAAAGGGCAGTTCACGATTGCCTGTAGCTGCAGGAGATCTGACGCCCTCTTCTGGCTTCTGCAGGCATTGAATGCACATACACATCCACATACCCACACATACATACATAATTAAGACTAACAATAAAGTTGAGAAATAAGATAACATTCACCAGAGGAGCACTCATTATCCTTGCAGACTAGCCACCTGTTGTTTTCTAAATAAAAGTTTATTGAAACATAGCCACACTCAGTCAATTACATATTCCTACAGCTACTTTCTTCCCATGACAGCAGATTTAAGTAATTAGTTCAGAGCCTCAGTGGCTGCCAAATCTAACATACGTACTATCTGCTATGCTATAAAAACTGCACAACTCTGATAAAAATAAAAGGGGAAAGCATGCTGGATGGGAGGGAGAGAAGAACAAAGAAAGAAGGAACTATGTATCACAGGACTCTTTCTTGTGACATTCTTGACAAAACTAATTAACCAATTAAAAATGCCAGAATGGGGCTGGGGAGACAGCTCAATTGTCTGCCTTGCAAGCAAGAGGATCTGAGTTCTAACCCCAGAACCCACAGAAAAAACAATGCAGCAGTGGTAGCACATGCCTATAATCTCAGTACTTGGGTAGGGGGCAAAGACAGGAGAAGCCCTGTCAAAAATATAAGACGAGGAAGACCCTGTAGTCAATCTCTGGACCACATGCACACACACAACCCTGAGCACATGTGCATGCATGCATGCACGCACACACACACACAGAGAGAGAGAGAGAGAGAGAGAGAGAGAGAGAGAGAGAGAGAGAAGAAATAAAAAGAGAGGGCATTTTTCATAGGTGTGGAAGACTGACTAAGGGGACATAAAGAGATTCTCTGGGGAACAGACTTGTTCTCTATATCGATGAAGTAGGGGCTACATAATATGCACTTATCACAAAAGATCAAGCTACATACACAGAAGATCTGTGGATTTTTAGACCCGGCATAGTGGTGCATGTTTGTCATCGCAGCACTGGGGAGCAGGAGGATGTATAGATCAAGGTCACTTTTCAGCTTCATAGTGAATTTGAGGACAGACTTGACCTACATGAGATCTTGGGGGAAGATATGGGGGCCTATGAGATGACTGAACCTCTGAAGGCATTTTCTGATGAGCCTGGAATGGGAAAATGGGTGGGGAGCTTTCGCTGGGGACAGGGAGAAGGAGGACAATGCAGAATGAGATGGCGGGAGGAGGGATGGATAAAACTAAGGATGTCTAGAAAAGGCCTAGGAATCATGTTCTACATTTATCTAAGATTGTGTACAGTACACTTAAATGTATGTGTTTATAAACACACGCACACACAGTTTAAATGAAGCTATGCCACTATCAAGCATGAGAAACCTCTTTTTGAATAGTTTATCAGAGTAGTTCAAGTGACTCCAAAACAATATAAACTGTTGCTGTTGCCCTCAGTTGCCTTCCAGAAGTTGAGAGAAGTCCCTGTTTCTGAACACACCACGCGCTTTGGGACATAGGACTTGGTAGAACTGAGGAAGCTGTGCCTTGGCAGCCTCCTCTCTGAGGGCTAGCTTTCACAGTTCCAGAAGATGCTATACAAACTGCTAAGGGAGGAAAACAATCAGTAGTTGACACCTCGGAAGCACAACACTGGCCGGCACGGCAAGATACCCTTAAAGGTGCAACAGTGGCACTCACATCTTGGTCGTAAGCAACAGCTGTCTAATTGTACTGAAAGAGTCACTCAACCAGAGGGAAATCACACCTGGAAATGGAAACCCAGCCAGCTGCCCATGGTTAGTGAGGTCATGGATCTTAGCAAACAACTAAATGATGCCACTTCCGCTAAACCATTATAATTTTCTACTCGTTCTAAAAACGTATCCCCATACCCACAGGTAAGTGTGGCTCTCATCTGTCATCAAAGAAACATCACTTGCAGCAGATGGAGGCCATTCCACCAAGCTGCAACTGATTAAAATGCAGAAAACAACTGGCTGTGGGGGCGCCAAGCCCCAGCCGGGAGCACTGAAGAGGAGAGGGTGGAAAGATTCTAAGTCAGCAGACTGGGAGGAAATCTGATGCAAGGACGGTGTCTTCTAGATCTATCAGGGAAGCTACAGCCCTGAAATCTCAACACCACGACTGCCAAAACAAGGCCTGAACAATGACAACGCCAGTTGACATGCCAAGATGGATGGGGAAATTACAGAGGGTAATTCTAGAGCATAGACGGAGAATTAATCTTCCCCAGAGATGAACACCCTATTTGGCTATCCAATACCAAGTTGTCAGCCCTAAAAATATATACACACAAGGAGCACTAAGTAAACATAAGAGGTCATATTTCTATATTTATTTGTGTGTTTGTGTGTATGGTGTGTGGTGTGTCCATGTGTGCAAAACAATGGTGATTAAAGAAGAAGAAGCCATGAATTTGAGAGGGAGGCAGGGGAATATGGAAGGTCTTGGAGAGGGGAAGAGGGAGGAGGAAAATGATGTAATTATATTTTAATTAAAAATAAATTAAATTTAAAAAAGGAACATCAGAGTTTTAACCTCCTAAATTGCCCTTTATTACTCTCAAACTAAACTATTAAAGAACATTTTTAAAAAACATGAAAAAAAAACCAGGGACCTGTAAAATAACTCAGCACTTAAAGACACTTGCTGACAAACCTGAGGGCCCAAGTTCAATCCCCAGGACCCACACGGTAGAAGAAAGAGAAGGGACTCCAGCAAGTTGTCATCTGACCTCCACACACAACTATGGATTTCATTTATTTAAGACAATTGCATGCTAAATTAAAAAGTCAAAACAATTTATCCCAAGAACACCAAGATAGGATCGTTCTCTTCCCTTTGGACTCCATGTATCCCTAGCTTCAAATTAACATTCAAGACAACCTTGTGTAGATGTTCCTTAATAACCAGCTGTTCCTCAAAAAAATCATGTTCATATTTATTTCCCATCCAGTCTTTGCTCCAACATTCCTGAAAGACACACCCAATATGGTTAAAAAGTCCAAGTCAGAGAGGCTCACGGGGGAAGCAGCTTGAAACCAAGGCATCCCTTCTCCCTGTGACTTACCAGAGACAGACTTTAATGGAAGCCCTCAGAGCATGCCCAGAGCACCAATGATCATGAGGGGGCCACTTTCTATCATGCACAACTCACTGCACCACACTTTGATGACCACCCCCCCCTCTCTAAATGTAACTTCCCTCTAGGGAGCCACATCTACTAGCTACTTTCCTAATGGCCACAACAAAATTCCTGATAGAAGCAACTTTTGAGACCCGGACTCCTATGATAAAGTGGAGCCAAAGTAGGTCACCATCAAGCCTGGTAACTGGGGTTCAATCTCCACGATCCACATGGAGGAGGGAGAGAGTCGGCTGCTCCCAGTTGTCCCCTGACCTCCACACACGCATTGTACCGCACGCGCGGACACACACACACACACACACACACACACACTCCCCAGGCTACCCCTCCATTAAGGCCCTTACCTGTCCTCACTGGCCCCGTTTCTTATGAGATACTTTTGGCTAGGGAACCTCGTGATGTGTCCAAGGCGATGGATATGTCAATGTGTAAAGCGATCTGACCCTCCACGGGAAGCACAGTCATCCATCATTTTGCAGGGTCACTAGGGACAGGACAGTCTGTATCCAGGCCAGCAGGAGCTGGTGGGAAGCACACCCTGTACTCCCCCAAAGAATCCCACAGTGGAAGATGGATGAAGGGCGGAGGCGGATAATATTAGAAAACTATTTCAGAGGCTACTTTGTAAATGAACTACTGAGCCAAATTCCGAACGATATAAATAAGCAAAGCACACAGACTGCAGCAGAACTCAAGTTGGGGGAGGGGTCTCTACTAATCTCAAGTGTCTCAGAGAGGAGGCGTAACGGTCTGTGCCTGTGCGCATGCAAGCATGTATATGTGCACGAATGTGTGTGTGTGTGTGTGTTCATGCATGTGTGTGTGTGTGTGTGTGTGTGTGAATGCATGTAGAAGCCAGAAGATGACATCAGCTATTACTTCTCAGGAGCCTTGTGCCTGAGATATCACTGGCCTGGATCTTACAGAGTAGGCCAACTGATGGCCAATGATGGTCGAGTGTTGTTGAGAATTCTTTCCCCATTGAGATGTAAGCAATGCCCAAACCTTCCTCTTAAGGTCCCAACCATGAACTAAAGTATAACACTACCAGCATTCATCCTGGGAAGCAAATTAGCTTATTTATTGAACTTGCTTGCAGAGTATGGGTGAGGGGTTTCCTAAAGGAGCATAAGGGACCCCCCAGCAGTTGCACTGGGCAATCTTCACCCAGCATAGATGATGGCTTCCTGTTCTATTTTGCTTCCTGCAGCTGTGATAAAATACCACGACAAAAAACGAGGTGAAGAGGAAAAGGTTTATTTCTTTATATTTCTGGATAACAGTCCATTGGTGAGGAAAGTCAGACAGCAACCTGGAGGCAGGGACGGAGGTAGAGGCACAGAGGAATGCTGCTTACTGGATTGTTTCCCTGTCATGCTCAATGTGATTTTCACACAATCCAGGACCACATGCCCAGGCATGGCACCCCCCGCAGTGTGTGGGGTCCTCCCACATCAATCATTAATAAAAAAAAATGCCCTACATACTTGCCCAAAGGATAATCTGATGGAAGCAATTCCTCGATTTGAGGCTGCCTCTTCCCAGGCAACTCTAGTGATGCCATGTTTACAAAAACTAAACAACAGAGAGCCCCTTCAATTAACCTCCCCTGGGGTATATATTCCAGCACCTGCAAGATCCCAAGTTTCCAAGGTCACACGTAATTATGGCAGAGTTGTATTTAAGTGTCTGTGAGGAGTAGCAGGAATCTCCGATGAGGGTCTCTTTACCCTCCCTACCTCTCCTCTTGTGAGTGGATGTCAAGGGTCAACAGGCTGGACTCTCTTAGAAGCAGACACTGTTGCTTCTTCCATCAAGATGGTGGTTGTTTTGTTCAGAAGGACCTTGTTCTACAACACCAGGAATCCACCTGTCTCCACATCCCCGCCATAGCTACCTTAAAGAAAAACATGGGTTCCTGACATCAAACTTGGGTCCCAGTGCTTGCAAGCCAAGAACTTTACCAACTGAACCACCTCTCAGGCTCCGATATTCTCATCCTCTTTCTCCTAGATCTTCTCACTCAATTGCCAATTTTAAGGTGTCTAGCACAATTCAGGGATGGCTTCCCTTTTTGCACCCAATAGCTTCCTACACTGCAGCTGGGACTATTTGTTGCATAATCAAGTTTTGTCTTAAAATAGTAATCTAGGGACTGGGGAAGCGGCCTGAGTGCTTAAATCACTCAGTGCACACATGTACAGACTAGAGTAGTTCAGATGTCCAGAAACTACACAAATGTCAGTTGGGCATGGCAGTGGCCTGTAATTCCAGCTTTGGAAAAGCAGTGACAGGGGATCCCCAAAGCAAACTGTCTAGAGAGAGATCTTTTATATGGACAAGCTCTGGGTTTGACTGAAAGACCCTCCCTCAATGAGTAAGATGGAAAGAGAAACATTGATGATGCCCAATGTCCACCTTGGTCCTCCACTGTATAGACACAATAGGTACACATACGGGACAGCGGGAAGAAACATGCATATACACACATGCACACAACACATACGCATTAAAATAGTAAAGGGGGAAACAAAATACTAAATCCAGAAAGAAACAAAGCAGGGGATCTAGGACAGGGAGAATGAGGGACTGGAAAGATGGCTTCCTGTATGTGTCCACAAGGACAGAGTTGCCAGGTGACAGTATGCTCAACCTTTCTTGCCTTAGGGAAAATAAATATTTTCCCGAGACAACACCCGTCTTGACACAGAAGATCAGGATGTTAGGTTTGTTTGTTTGTACAGGTCCAAACTCTACTATCATTTCAGTACCAACTAGGAAAGTAATTCCTACCAACTCCCACATTAGGGGATTGAGTTTAGAGTTCCAGTAATGCTAGGACCATCTTCCCCTTTCCACTGTCTCAAGGGCCAAACAGTTCAGTAAAGGCCAATGAAAGATGGACATCAAACCTGGTAGACACTTAGGATCATGTTCAAGGTCCCATTCGCTTTGAATCTTAAATTTAAAATGCCCCAGCTTGTAGCCATGAAGTTCAACACAGGATAAAAGAAAAGATAGCAGGATACCTAGGCTGGTTAGGGGGAGGGAACTCTATCCTTTTTAGGGCTGCAGCAGAGGTGAGAGAGAGCAAAGACCATGTGTAAGCTGGAATCTTAGGCCATCTCCATCTTAGACTCTGGCCCAAGCGTCCCATTCTCCAGAAGAGAAGCAGGGGTGGATGAAGAATTGAGAGTGTGCCACTCAGTCTCCATTACTGTAGCAACACCCAGGATTATCAATGTCAAAGACAGCTCAGTGAGTAGAGGCGCTTGCTTCCAAGACTAATGGTGCCCGAGTTCTATCCCTGATGGAAGGAGAGAACCATTCCTGCAAGATGTACTCTATGTACTGCACACACACACACACACACACACACACACACACACACACACACAATAAAATGTTTAAAGAACAGAAAGAAAGAAAGAGAGAGAGAGAAAGAAAGAAAGAAAGAAAGAAAGAAAGAAAGAAAGAAAGAAAGAAAGAAAAATGCCTCAGTTAATAGTGTATACTGCTCTTGCAGAGGACCTGAGTTCAGTTCCTAGAACACCAGGTGGTCATAACCACCCAACATACACATAATTAAAAACAAAATAAATCTTTAAAAAAGAAGAAGAAGGGAGGTTTGTGTTGGCTCACAGCTTTGGAGGTGACAGTCCCGGACTCTGTGGACCTGTGATGAGGCAGCACACCATGGTGGCAGTTACCAGCATGAGAAAAGCAGAGGAAGAGGAAGAGGAAGAGGAAGAGGAAGGAGCTGGGGTCCCACACCTACAAATGCCCTACCAAGTCACCTCTTCAGGGTTATATCATCTCCCAACAGCACCAAACTAGGACGAATCTTTCACACACAGGGGCTTGGGGGAGGATAGTGGTAGCATTACAAATTGAAGCTATAACAGAAGGGATGCAATTTTACCTTCTAGTTTGAAATAAGAAAGTAAAAGTATCACACATATACACATAGATGGGCCGGCAGTTATAAAGTTAATTTTAGTGTTTATGGCCAAATAATATTCACACACACACACACACACACACACACACACACACACACCACACACACACACTTTATCCAGTCATCTTTCGATGGGCACTGTCTTGGTCACTATTGTATTGCTGTGAAGACACATCATGACCATGACAAAGGAAAGTATTTAATTGGGGATTGCTTATAGTTTCAGAGGCTTAGCCCATTATCATCGTGGCAGGAAGCATGGTAGCATGCAGGCAGACATGGTGCTGGAGAAGGCGGCTGAGAGTTCCACATCTGGATCCACAGACAGTGGGAAGAGAGTCACACTGGACCTGATTTGGGCTTTTAAAACCTCAAAGACCCCAGTGGCACACTTCCTCCAACAAGGCCACATCTCCTAATTTTTCTCAAGAAATGCCACTCCCTGACGACTAAGAAGTCAAATATATGAGTCTATGGGGGTATTCTCATTCAAACTGCCACAAACCCCTAGGCTACTTCCATACCAGAGATATGAAGACATCTCTAGTAGGTTGAGATTCTTTTGGGTATGCCCAGAAGTGGTGCAGCTGGTCAGTGTGCTTTGTCACTTCTTACAGAAGAAAAGCAGACACTTGACTCTATCCTGGGGGAGATCTCTGAGTCAGGTCTCAGAGTCTTGGTGAGCAATGCTTAGAATCCGTTCTCACCTGTGAGAATCACATTGAATGGGGGAGTCATCCAAAGCACTCAATAGGCCTTTCAACTTCCAACACATGAGTTCGGAAGAATATGTTACCCAGACATGTATCTGGGTGGAGAGACAGGAACCAAGGGTCAACAGCAAAATCTAGGTCCAGGCCAATGGGCCTGTTTGTTGTTCTCAAGAGCTCCTTGAGACAAAACTATGTAAAGTGAAATACATGCAGTATTCAAAGGAGCTGTTACTAACCCTCCCCACCCCACAGCTTAGCTTGTAAGCCCTGAACACACTGAGTTGTTCCTACACATGGAGGCATTATATTCTAAATAACTCAATAAAATTCTCTAACAAGTTGGCATGGTGACCAGAATATGCTTCCAGATGACACACAGATCATGATTCTGCAGTTACCTAGTGAGCATCTGTAATCCCAAGAGGACCACACCCCACAACCTGTCAGCTGCTGAGCCTCCCAGTATTGCCTTCCCCATAACCCTGGATCCGCTGTACAGTTGGAACACTGTTACATGGTTTTCTCAAAATGTTACCCATGAGGCTCTTGAAACATGATTCTTGGTTGTGGAGCATAAGTAAGCCATGAAGAAGATTCATGTGTGTGTGTGTGTGTGTGTATGTGTGTGTAAAGATATATATATATATACATATATATATGAAATTTTGATTAATGATCCCAAAGATATCCCTGACAATACTAGGCAAAAAAAAATCTTTGTGCAAAATCCTTCACTATTACCAACTCCAAGGAAAAAGCAGGTAGGAGAGTTCATTAAATGGGTCCTTGGCTTTGTGCAACTGATTCTCAAGGTGCAGCCCAGGGCCAGTGACCTCACCCTGATAACTGCTGTTAGTCAAAAGTATAAATTCAGGTCAATGAGATGGCGCAGTAGTTAAAGACACTTGCTACCCGTTCTGATGACCTGAGTGTGATCTCCTGAGTCCAAGGAACGACGGAAAGAGAACTGACTCCACAGTGATGTCCTTTGACTTTCACTTGTGTGCCATGACACGCATACCCACGCCCACTTCATACATACCCACTATAATACTTTTTTAAAGTTTTTTTTTTTTAACAGTGCAGATTTGGGAGCCACCCGTGACCTATTGAATCAGAAACTCCACTGAGGCTCAGGCCAATAAATGATGCCTGTATAATACAGATCACAAGAAAGGTGCTGGAAGCATGGTCACCAGAAGACAGAAGAAAATAGTGCATTCCTTAAGGGTCAGTCTGTGGTTTAAGCCAGGGAAACGCTATCCTTATCACCAGTGGGTTTATTTTAACTTTACGTAGTAAACACTGTCTCAGTGTGTGTTGTGCTGCCGTGACAAAACACAGTTGGCTAGGAACCGAGGAGATGGACCAGTGGGTAAAGTGCTGGCCATGAAAGAGCAGGGATCTGAATTCAGATCCCCAGTGCTCATGCAAAAAGCCAGGCATGCCACTATAACCCTAGACACCACACACACTCAACTCAAATAAATCAAGCTGTGCACAGTGGCACTCAGGAGGCAGAGGCAGGCGGATCTGTGTGAGTTTGAGGCCAGCCTGGTCTACAGAGCGAGTTCCATATCAGCCAGGGCTACATAGTAAAAAACTGTATCAAAGAAAAAGATTTTTTTTAGTTGCTGAAAGGAGAGGAGGGGGATTGGAGAGACGGCTTACCAGTTAAGAACACTTGCTGCTCTTGTAGAGGAACTGGGTTTGATTCCCATCATGGGAGCTCACAATCATCTGTAACTCCAGTCCTCTTCTGGGCATACGTGCAGGCAAAACACGCATACGCACGAAAAGTTAAATTGAAAAGAGAGAGAGAGAAGAGGGGTTTCAAACCTCCCAGGCTTGGAGGCTGAAGTCTAAGTTTGGGTGGTCCCATATGTTTGGACCCCGGTGAATGCTTCTGTGAGAAGAGGCAAAGATGGACAGATAGAGCCAGAGCCAGAGCCAGAGACCGAGAAAGGCAGACCATATGGCAAGAAGGAAAGCAGAAGGCTGATTTGAAGAGGAGTCAAGCTTGCTGTTTTACAACCGCTCTCTCTATGGGGAATTAAGTCGCTCTTACCACATCTAACAACCCCCAAACCAGATTTAATCCTTTCAGGTGGCCACAACTTAATCTGTGCCCTCTAGGCCCCACCCCTCAGATTTTGCCTCCTACAAAGGTTACAATACCTGTTTCCAGGGCAGGAGTCTTTGGGGGACAAGCCACGCCCAAACCACACCAAGCATTATATGTCGAGTCCCCCTCCCCCAAATCCCAGGATCCAGTTCAGTGAAAGAATGGAAAAAGAAGGTTTCCTGCGGGCTGGCTTACTCAGTAAAGTGCTTGTCACACAAGCACACAGACCTGAGTTCCATCCCACAGAACCCACAAAAAAGGCCAAGCACAGCAGGCACCCACTTATAGTTCCCATTCTGGAGGGGTGGAGACATGCAGATCTCTGGGTGATGAGCAAGTCAGGCCAAATTGATGAGCTCTGTGATCAGGGAAATACCCTACCTATAAATGAATGAATGAATGAATGAATAAAATAAATAAATAAATAGATGTGAGAACAATTAAAGGGACACCTAATGTCACTCTCCACCTTCCACATCTACGAGCACACACATGCAACTACACACGTGTGCATGCACACATACCGCAGAGGAACACATGCATACACATCACACATACATGCATACATACATATATACATACATACACACACACACACACACACACACACACACACACACACGGAAATCTCAATGTTGAAATTAGAAACTATGTAAATAATCACGTAAGAACTCTAGAAAAGCAAAGCACACTAACTGGACAAGATTAATAACAATGGAAACCAGCAAACTAGCCATCAGAAGGTCAGGATAATCAGTAGAAATTGTCACGTTAAAGAAAGAAAGGGGAGCACGTCCTTAATCCCAGCACTTAGGAAGTAGAGGCAGGTGGATCTCTGGGAGTTTGAGGCCAGCCTGGTCTACAGAGTGAGCTCTGCGATACCCTGGGTTGTTACACAGAGAAATTCAGCCTCAAAAAAAAAAAAAGAAAAAAGAAG